TATCATGTAGATGGTAAAACGCTAACCAAAATTTGTCTAATCATCCCCACCACTAATGCGATGACGTCACTTCAAAATTGTACATAGTAAATGGGTTTTCAATTGTATAAAATAACATAGTCCTACAGATGTAGTTTACAACTCTGAATCGACTTTTCACCCGAAACGTCCAGATTTTTGGAAAAAAAATCAAAATTATAAAACAATATTTTGAAATTTAATTTTTAATCTGCTAACCAGAATGCTTTGAAATGTTGCAGATGTTTTAAGGCTATAAAGAGCATCATAAATCTTTAGTCAAAAAATATTTGCTTATCCCCTCCAAAAACTTGATGACGTCAGCTCAAAAGTTTGTGGAATAAATCATATCTAAAATGTACAAAATATGATGAGTCTGTACTTGTGATCTATCACTCCATTCATATTTTTTGGATTTGCATATACAGGGTGACTCAAAAAAATTAATGAATGCGTAAATATATTTTATTGATTTAATCAGGAACTACAAAACCGAATGCTCTGAAATCTTGCAGATGTTTTAAGGTCATAAAGAGCATAATAAATGTTTAGTCAAAATATATTTGCTTATCCCCTCCAAAAACTTGATGACGTCAGCTCGAAAGTTTGCCGAATAAATCATATATGTACAAAATATAATGAGCCTGTACTTGTCATTTATCACTCCATTCATATTTTTTGGATTTGCATATACAGAGTGACTCAAAAAAATTAATGAATGCGTAAATATATTTTATTGATTTAATCAGGAACTACAAAACGGAATGCTCTGACATCTTGCAGATGCTTTAAGGTTATAAAGAGCATAATAAATGTTTAGTCAAAATATATTTGCTTATCCCCTCCAAAAACTTGATGACGTCAGCTCGAAAATTTGCCGAATAAATCATATCTAAAATGTACAAAATATGATCAGTCTGTACTTGTGATCTATCACTCCATTCATATTTTTTGGATTTGCATATACAGGGTGACTCAAAAAAATTAATGAATGCGTAAATTTATTTTATTGATTTAATCAGGAACTACAAAACCGAATGCTTTGAAATAAATAAATAAATAAATAAATAAACCTTTATTTTCTACAGGTATTATACCCAATTACAGAAAATATACATTAGTCATGCTAGTTAAATGACACGTTGAAATTACTTAAAATAAAAATAAAAAGAAGGAAAAAAAAATTAATGATAAATTAAGTTAACTTCCATTGTCCCAATAAGTTACGATGCAGTGTCTAATTTTTGTAATAGCGTCATGATGGATGTCGCAGTTCCGAGCAATTTTGTTGAAATTATTGCATATTACATGCAATGGTGACTTGCATAAAATATTTGTTCTGCAGGGGTGTGTATAAAATGTAAAAACTTGACGAGTATGCTGAGTTCTGGGGACTAAAATGTTGATCTTCTGTAGAAGCGATGTGCAGTCTACACGATTGTTCAAAAGTTTCCACAGAAACGAAATGCCGTATGATATTCTACGAATTTTAAGTGATGTGAACCGAAATCTTTCAAGTAACAACGTATGATCAGTGCCACGTGGGGGATATGTCCTATCAACAATAAAGCTTAAAAACTTCAGAAATTTCCTCTGAACAGATTCAACATGATTAATATGTATTTCGTAAATCGGAGACCATACACACGCACAATATTCCAGCCTAGAGCGAACTAGAGAATAGTATAAAGCTGATAAAGACCGAATGTTCGTAAACTTTTTGCAATTCCTATAGATGAATCCATAGGTTTTAAATGCTTTTGCAACAGTATCCTGCATGTGGTTCACAAAGCTAAGTTTCATATCGTATATGACACCGAGATCCTTATAGATATCTGTTCTTTTAAGCTTCGAAGTTCCCATTGTGTACGTGAAGACGATAGGTTTTAATTTTCGTGTGAAAGACATGACAATGCATTTTAGGATATTAAGAGTGAGTCGATTCCTTAAGCACCAGTTAATTAATATATTGATATATTCTTGGAGTTGAAGACAATCATCAACGCTTGTGATTTTGGCGTAGATCTTTAAGTCATCAGCGAATAGTAATTTTCGATTTAGTAATAAATTAGGCAGATCGTTAATAAATATTAAAAATAGTAACGGACCCAAATTAGATCCTTGCGGAACCCCAGATGTTGGTACCGATGACTTCGACAGATGGTTTTGATAACGTACACGCTGCTCACGACCAATCAAATAAGAAGAAAATAATTGTACCATAGAGTTAGAAAATCCCATCAAGCGCAATTTTTTGAGTAAGATGAAGTGATCAATTTGATCAAAGGCCTTCTGAAAATCAGTAAAAATTACATCGACTTGACCATTATCATCCAATATTTCAGAGACATCTTGCGTAAAGCACATAAGGTTAGTTGTTGTTGACCTTTTGTTCATAAAGCCATGCTGAAAGGGGGAAATTGACTGCTTAACAGAGGTATATATTCGTTTATGTAAAATAGTTTCTAATACTTTCGCAAAGTTACACAGAAGAGATATTGGACGATAATTTTGAATCAACCTAACGTCTCCTTCTTTAAGTATGGGACAAATAATGGATTTTTTCCAGATAGAAGGGAAAGATGATGTTTTAAGGATAAGATTAAATATGTGTAATAGCGGTTCAGCTAATACTGAGCCAGTATCTTTCAAGAAAAAGCTAGGAATGCCGTCACTTCCTGCAGTAAATGAATTTTTACAATGATGTAAGGTAACCAGAATTTCTTCTCTAGAAATATAATCTATATCTATTGAGAAATTGACATTACAATCTACAGATACAGAGTTTAAACCTGTGCTATTCGAATCAGTAAATACACTACAAAAGTACTGATTAAAGCTGTCAACAATAGTTTCAGGTGTTGATAATGTGTGATCATTATAATGCATGATACCAGGAATTCTAGAGGTCCCTTTTCTCTGTTGCACAAAACCCCAAAATTTCTTAGGATTATTAAGAAGATTGGACTGAATATTCTCAATGTACGACTTGTAAGCCTTGGTAATTAAAGATTTAATTTTTGAACGATAAGATTTAAATAAATCGAGATAATATTGTGATCGATACATTTTAAATTTAGTACGATAGGTGGACTTTTTACGAATTGCTTCAATAATTTCTGAAGTGAACCATGGTGGATAACTATGGTAACGTTTGACATTCACATGTGGAACATATTTTCCAAATAGGTTCCCCAATACATCATAAAAACTTATTTTATTATTATTTTTAAAAAAGACCAGTTAACTGTACAAAGAGAAATCTTGCAGATGTTGTAAGGTTATAAAGAGCATAATAAATTTTTAGTCAAAACATATTTGGTTATCTTCTACAAAAAACTGATGACGTCAGCTCAAAAGTTTCCCGAATAAATCGTATCTAAAATGTACAAAATATGATGAGTCTGTACTTGTGATTTATCATTCCATTCATATTTTTGGATTTGCATATGCAGGGTGACTCAAAAAAATTAATGAAGGCGTGAATTTATTTTATCGATTTAATCAGGAATTACAAAACCGAATGCTTTGAAATCTTGGGAATATTTCAAAGTTATTATAAGCATGGTAAACTTTTGTTCAAAATGTATTTGTTCATCCCTCCTAAAAAATTGATGACGTCACCCTTAAATTTTGCTGAATAAATCCTATCTAAAATGCAAAAAATATGATGAGTTTGTACTTGTGATTTATCATTCCATTCATATTTTTTAGATTTTCTTAAGAGGTGGTTCAAAAAAATTAATGAAGTCAATTTATTTTATTGATTAAATTAAAGGCAACACTTATTATTAGTATTACACCCCAACCAACCCAATTTGGTAGACACAAAATTTGTTAAAGGAAAAACTCGGTTGAAACATAAGGGTAGCACGCTTATTTAGATCGACTTTAACATTACAGACCTGCATTTGTTTTATGCGGTCACTTGGTTCCGCGAATGCTAAATAGACATGTTTATAATCAACCAATTGTGAATTTCACCGTCAAGAATTAAAATAAAACGCAATGTTTTATATAATAAGCGGAAGTCGAAGCAATAAAACCGATGGTCGTTTTGTTTACAGTTTCTCTGTTTGACTCTCACGTATGCTGTTACGCTTGTCATCTTAAATTAAGAATGTTTATACATAAACGATTTTCAGTTGCCCCTCATATTACTAGACAGCGGATTTCTGTCGGGCTACGTCACGATTATAGGGGGGGACGTGCTGGATTCCATAAATATAATTAACGATTTATTAATCAAACCGCTAAGTAAATGAGAACGGGAATTAACAGCAGAGTGCAACGAAACAACGTTATTCTAATCTCAAATAAACGAAGTGCAGTCCGCAACGGCAATGAATTCGCATCCCGTGCGAGCCGTACCGAGTTTGGCCTTGCCTAGCCCGACAGAAATCCGCTCTCTAGATATTACACACCGGCGCCGTATACGTGAGTAAATTGTTTCGTTATTTTATTGATTATAAGAAATCAATATTCAAAACGACCCAATTCATTTTCCCGAAAATTTGGGAACACAATAATTTTATTCTTAGTATTACACTACATCTATCCCAACTGATATACGTGTCCTTGCAAAAATGTTGATGACGTCATCACAATTTTTTTTTAAATTCCCACTACAAAAATGTAATGAGAAAAAAAAACATAATAGGCATGCAGTCGTCAAGTTTCCGACAGCGAGGGAAGTACTGTCTAAACTCTTTGGACCAATTTTTTTATGTTAACCGCTGCAAGTGAGCTTTTTTATAAGAAAATTTTGTGATGATGACGTCGTCAACATTTTAGCAAAGACATCACAGTATTCTATTCTCAAATTTTCGGGAAAAACCATTTATGTAATAGCTCGGAAATACTTAAAACGGGAAAATGTAACATATTTATAAGAATAATAACAAGAGTTTAATTCATTAACTTTGTTAATATACTCGTATTTATCTATAAATTTATTATAATGATGTTGGTTTATATTTCAGATTTTTCGGAAGAAAACAGGAACAACTGATAAGGGTAGGCAATACGAAGATATGATTACCGCTAATGTCGCACTAAAAATGGTAAGCGACGCAAAAATTGAAGACTTTTACATTGCGTCAAATGATGAACAGTTCGGTAATTTCGATGACGTAGTTATTGAAATTAAGACAGATCGAGGAATCCAAACAAAAGCACTACAATTAAAACACAGTGACCGAGGGAATTTAACTATAAAACAACTGACTGGCAAAACGGGAAACTTCAGTATAACTAAATATTTCAACTCGGTTCAAAATTTACTGGACAAGGCGCAACAATTTATTTTACTCACCACAAAGGAATTTAAAATTTCGGAACAAACACAGTTTCAACTCGAAGGAGAAGAGTTTTTCCTGAAGCCGATTAAAGTTTCGGTTTCAGAAGACAATTTCGACATTTTAGCTATCTCTGAAGATATAAATTACTGCTATAAGTTCCAAATTATACAAGAAGAGGAGTGGACTAAAGAGGATCTAGGAAAAATTCGACAGTATCAAAGATTTTTCAAAAATTTTTATCTTTACACTAACCAAGAACATTTGGAACCTCTTAAAAAATCAACAATGGATAAATTTAATAACATGTTTTGTTCTAACGAAGAAACGTTCAAAAAATACACCGACGTCATATCGGACTGGAATATGAAACAAGGAAAAAAAGAAAAATTAACCAGAAGAATGATGCAACGTGCAATTGCGCTTCGTCTGCTTTATTCTCATATCGAACCTTTTGTGTTTGATTCAGTCACAGACAAAATGAAAATTCTTCGAGAGGTTATTTGTCTGTTTGACATTACGTTGTTGGAACAAGGAGGCAGCAACGCAGTTAAAATGTTGTGGGGAGACTTGAACAAAAACCTTGACCTCAAGGAATTAAATAAAATTCGATCACTTTATTCCCTTTCGTCTAATGATATAAACAATGTCGAAAATCTGGATGCCAATATGTTGACACAATTGCTATGGTTGATGGATAAGTGTCCGCTAATCGTAAGAGAACACGAAAGTGTAGAAAAAGCGATTCTGCTCTGCTCCGATGCAAAATTTGTTTTAGTTGGTGAAGGAAAATGTAGTGACTGGATGAAAAATCGACCCGTGTTTCAGAATTTGTCAAACTTGAAGTCAAAATTTGAGCTATACGAAACAGTGTTGCATAATTTTACGATTTCGTTACAAGGAAAGGAATTAATTAATTTGATGAGTGCTTCTGAAAACAATAAAAAAATTATGCAGCATGTAACTGTGAACAAACTTTTAGAAATGTCTAGTGGTCCATGCTATATCGATGGACAAAAGGAAAATTTTCCCAACCTTTATATCGAAAGATATTTGTCGACAAATATTATAGACACTGAATATTTGGAAAATGCTAATGAAAATACTGTTGTTATTCTAAGTTGCAACGATGATATAGAGCAACTAAAAGTACTTCAAAAATATGATCTTACAGATATAGACGTTTTTTTGAGTATTGGCAAAATTTCTGATGCTTCAAATTTTATAATGAGTAAAAAAAATTATAGTGGATCTGAATTTCAAAATATATGTTCAAAAATACCAAAATCCAGAACTGTACATCATTTTAAATTTCTTAATAACAAAAATTTAGAATGGATCCAAAGCCGTGGCGATATTAGTGAACTGCGCAACTACAAATCACCCGATCATTCCAAAAACGAAAACGAAATTTGGTCCTCCGAAGTCAGCAACAACATTAACCTAATAACAGGTGACCCGGGAATGGGCAAAACCGAATTAACAAAAAGTCTAAAAAATAATTCTTGTTCTAAATATTGGACGGTGATTATGAATCCTCAAGATATTAACAATTTCTTCAAAATTTTTAAAAATTGTGAAGCGTCAGACTACTTAAAACAATTCGAAACATTTATGTTAGATGAAAAGTATAAACATCGTGGAAAGTTAGACCAAGAATTTTTGAAAACATGTTTGAAACTGAACAATGTAATTTACGTGTGGGACGCTCTTGATGAAATCGCAACGAGACATTTGGACGCCACTTCAGACTTGATTCTTCAATTGTCACAAAAAGGTTTCGTTCAATGGGTTACTGCCAGACAACACTTGAGATCTTTGCTTGAAAAAAAATTTAATGTACTGTCAGTGGAAATAAAGCAGTTCAGCGAGACCGAGCAAGACGACTACATCACTAAACGTCTTGGGAAGTTCATTTCATCTGTGCACATGAAGAGAACGATCAAGAAAATTAAATCCACGTTTGCACTTACACAACATATAGATATATTGGGAATTCCACTCCAAATATTTATGTTGACGGAGGTATTTCTTCAAAATAAAGAAACATATTTAGAATTGTTGAATAACACTTTTCTTCTGACTGACATGTACAGTTACTTTATCGACGGAAAATTTAATTTTTTCTACGGAGGCAAAGTGCCTGTAAAAGGAGATTTCTGGGAAGAAGAGGTCAGGAAAAAAAAAGAAGAGAAATTAAAACAGTATGAAAAGTTTGCGCTTGAATTAATATTTAATGAAGAAATTTTGAAAAGGTTAAAGATAGATTGTTCACAAGATGTAAGTTTTGCTGTAGACGATTTAGCTACTGTTGGTCTCGTCACTAAATTACAAAATGGCATTCAATTCGTGCATGTCTCCTTTGCGGAGTATTTTGTCGCCTTATATTTTTCAAACAATTTTGAAAACATACACACAGACATATTTTTTAATCAAAAGTATAATAACGTACGTTTTTTCTTCGACATGTTAAAAGGAAAAAACTCGCCGGCTCATATTGCCGTCTTGTATAGAAATTTTGATATAGTGAAGAACTGTCAAGACGAAATATTGACACGTAAAGACGACTGTGGAAGAAGTGCCTTACACCTCATTTGTTCCTGGGGACAAAGACATCCACGTTTAAAAGTACAAAAAGGCGATAGGGGTTACGTTATTGAGGCAGATCAGGAATTTGGTGGTTCCCTAGAAACAAAAGAATATTTTGAAGCATTGCTACGTTTGTTAGAGAAATGTGAAATTTCGGAAAAGGATTTAGTATTTAAAGTAACACCCCTAACGTGTGCTCGAGAGAGTGAAAGTTTAGGAGCCGAATTGGAATTATTAGGGTCGAATAAACTGCAGTTAGAACAACCGTATCATGAAAGTGATAGAATTAATATTTTATATTACTCTGCTCTTCTCGGATACGACAAAGCGGTTAAAATGGTTGTTACCGAAAATTCAGGGACCAGTTACGAAGAAGTAAATCCTACTATTAAATTCACTCTTTCCATGCCTCGTACAATACATTTGCGAAAGGTTGATATTTATCAGGAAACACCGCTTCATGCAGCTTCCTCGAATGGTCACGAAAAGATGGTCGAATGCCTAGTGAAATGCGGAGCTGATGTCAATAGGGTTGATGAAGACGGTCGGACATCACTTCACGCAGCTTCCTTTAATGGTCATCAAAAAACCATCAAATGCCTCGTCAAATGCGGGGCCGAACTCAACCGCAGTGATAGTGAGGGTCGGACACCACTTCACGCAGCTGCTTCAAATGGACACGAAAAAACCGCCGAACTTTTAGTCGAATATGGAGCCGCAATCAACTGCGCTAATTACGATGGTCAGATACCACTTCACGCAGCTTGCTTGAATGGCCACGAAAAAACTGTCGAATGTCTAGTAAAATGTGGAGCTGAAATTAATCGCACTGATAATAATGGTTGGACATCACTTTACGCGGCATCTTCGAATAGCCATGAAAAAACAATCGAATGCTTAGTAACACACCAAGCCGATATCAATCAGCCCGATAAAGGCGGCTGGACACCACTTTTCGCGGCTTCCTTGATCGGCAACGAGAAAATGGTCGAATGCCTAGTGAAATGCGGAGCCGATATTAATCACGCTAGGAATGATGGTCAGACACCGCTTTACGCAGCTTCGTCGACTGGCAGCGAAAAAACTGTCGCATGCCTAGTGAAACACGGAGCAGATATCAACTGCCCTAACAAATATGGTTTAACACCGCTTCATGTGGCTTCTCGTCGGGGCCACCAAAAAACTGTAGAACTCTTGGTGAAAAGCGGAGCCGAAATCAGCGTATTTGATAACAATGGTGAGACACCGTTTTCGTTAGCTTCTTCACGCGGCCATAAGAGAATTGTGAAATTCTTAAGGGAATTCCAAGCTGCTGGTTGAACTCCGCGTTGTACAACAAATTTTTATAGGTTATTTGATTATTTCGTCTCTGTACTGGGACGAAATATGGTCCAAAACTTCTACTCTGTAATTACTTACCAAAATTAAAGTTCACATCGAAACCGAAAGCTGTCTATCATTTTTTATACAACAAACCAACGGTCCTTCGAGCTACATCGAATTACAATTTGGTAATCACCAACACCAAACATTGGTTCTACGAGCCAGGTTGCATCAAACATTGGTCCATATCGAACCGGGTTGGCTGAAATCACACCTAAATACATTTTACTAATCAACAACAACATCATTACATCAATATAATCAACTGGAAGCGACGGCACCAGTGGGCAGCATTGCTACAAAAGCATCACCACCACACCACATTGCATCGACTTGGAAGCAACTTCAGCATTGGACAGCATCTTCGGCGGAGAGTCACCACCGCAATCAATTCACCAGAACGGCAGAAGCAACACCATCTCTAGAACCGGAGTTAAGGTTAATGGACTCCATTACTCCACTTGCAATCCAATTCATTAAGCAAGAATTCGATAAGTGTCGATTTCGGTTTCGCGATCGATAATGCTGCATTTCCTAATTCGCTAATATACCTCCAAAATGGTAGAAAAGTTACAGCACACTAAGAATCAACAAAAAATAATCATTAACCAGCTCAATAAGTACGATAATTTCTTAGATAATCTTAACTATGAACATGATGTTGTAGAACTTAAATACAGCATTGATCCTTTATTAGATTAGTTAGATAAATTGCAAATAATTATCAAGTCATTAGGAACTTCATCTACTGGCCAAACTGATGAAGAACGCACTTCGCCAGAACCTCTTAGTGATTCTATTGAACTATACGAATCTTTATATTGTAGAGTAATCGCTAAAGCTCGGAATTATATGCAGAAAAAAACATTTAAATATGACTATTATGACCGTTTTAAATATCATAGATCTAAATCGAAATGTTTAATTCACAGTAGTTACCTTAGGTGTCTAAACGAAATACAATCGTCAATCTCATCAGAATCAAAAAATTTTGGACGTAAGACTCAATCCAGAAAAGGAAAATCTAAAATTCCAGGACAAATAATGAGATATCTAGATCAAGAGCTTGCAACACCGCAAGATATTGTCAATGCATTTGGTGAATTCTTTAAAGGCGTTTAGGTCCCTCCTCATTCTACAAATTTTAATATAAGAGACGAAGAGCCCAATAATCTGCAAATAAAGACTTATGGAATATCTCAGAAGGAAATATATTAGAAACTCTCAATTAAAGTAAAAACTCAATGACAGCCGGTATGGATAATATCCCAAGTTTCCTCCTAAAGGATTGTGCCTCAATGTTTGTAACACCGTTATTTTACTTGTGTAATATTATTATCAAAATGGAAATTCCACAATTATTATTGAAAGTGAGCGACCTATCTGCATACTTTCCAACTTTTCAAAAATTTGTGAATCCACTCTGTACAAACGTCTTTATTTTAATGTCAAAAGCTTTATTTCTACATTTCGACATGGCTTTGTGGAAAACAGATCTACTGTGACAAACCTTGCCTGTTTCAGTCAGTATGTATCAGAAGCAATGGACCATAATACTCAGGTGGACTGCATCTATGCAGTTTTTAACAAAGCTTTTGATTAAATAGACCATATTCTTGTTCGTAAACTTAATTTGTTTGGCTCTCAATCAATAATTTCACAACATATCACTCCGTCCAACATCAAAAATACTCGCGGTATAGCTTTACTAATCTCATCCAAAATTCCTTCCACACCCCATGTTCTTCCGGAAGCCACAGCCGCAAATATCTAAACCCAATCTTGCTTCGATACGTCTTTAATCTTCCAAACCCCATCCTACTGGGTGACTTCAATGCAAGACATAAAGACTTCGGTCATCACGACTCCAACAGAAACGGCACCACTTTAGTCAATATTTTTCTTAATCTCCCCATCTATCGTATCGAAAACCGTCAAGCTACCGGCTTTCACCCTTTATGTATTTGATTTACTGCAGCGACTTTCCCTTTTCAGATACCACAAAGACCAAGAGTAGGAGGTTCGCGGACGACACTGCCTTCTGGACCACCCACTGCTCCCCCACCTGAGCCATCACCATCATCCAGAAACCCCTCCACCGCTTCGAAGAATGGGCCAACAACTGGAGAATTTCCCCCAATCCCAAAAAATCACAATCAACACTAATCTTTTACCCGCGTGCTACCACCAAATAACCCGCTTTCACCCGCAATAACCTCACGCTTCATAATCAACCCATCCCCAAATCTAAATCTATAAAATACCTCGGTACCACCTTTTCTCACACATGTTCCCAGCTCGCAAATCTCGAACTCACCGCACACATCCGTGGCTGCAACCCAAAAACCCTCCTGCATCCCTACAACTCTTTCATCTGACTCATCATAGAATACCGAGCCCCTCTCTAAGCGTCTCCCCCTCAACGAGATCTAAATAGAATAATTGCATGCAAACGTAAAATTCTTCGTAAAAGTTTCGGACTTGACTACAGATACCCCTCTTTGCATGTCCACTCTGTCACTAATTACACTATTCCTATCGCTTCCAGACTAACTGAACTTCAGAAAAAATATATCCAACGCAAAAAATATATTCAACTCCACTAACACTATAGTCATCCCAACCCTTCATACTTTGCATAAATACTGAACCGTAGACAACCATCTTCTACACCACGTCCCTAAAAGACCAAAAAACAAATGCAAACACCCTACCACCGCTTTGCTAACAAAACTCTAAACTGACCTCGACGCAGCCCTCCAGTCCATTGACCAAGAGACTCCCTTCTCTTTGAGATGACTTTCAGCCCTAAGACCCGACGCCCCGACGACAACCACCCACAAAAACCCTAACCCGGCGCAACAGACGACCAAAAACAACGACGATGACCCAGACTCCTGGACTCGAGTCCTCGACATCCACCCACACAAACCCGGACCGAACACAACGACTGAAGAACTAACTACCTACTGCTTTTTTATTGTATATATTGTAAAATTTAATTATGTGACAAATCCCCTAGTGCTCCTAGTGCTGAAAAGGCCCTAAGCCTCAGCAGCACCCCATAATGTTCGCACTGTAAATATCTGAAGTCTACCTGCAAATCCAAAAAGTCAATAAAATGTATTTAAATCTGAATCTACTGAAGAATGTGAAAGTTTGCAGACCAACTTAAACCAGTTGTTTTCTTGGAGTATTCAAGCCACTTTTATTTTGTCGAGGTTTCATGACCCTTGCAGTACGAAAAGTAGGTAAGCGGAGAAAAGTGTTGTTACCTCGGTGGGCCTCTCTCATTCCGGGCAAGCATCCAGACCACTACACCACGAGGCGACTTTTCTTTTCTCCGCTTACCAACGTGGTATTGCGCCGCCTCAGTACTCCTCCCTCCCCCCCAGCGATACAGCGCGCGGTCGTGCTGGGGTGCGAAGGAGATAGTTGCTAGAGTCGCCCCTGCTACTCTTACGTTCGTCGTTCGAACCCTGGCGGTGCTGCGGACCCCGAACATAGCGGGCACAGGGCGGTAGCAGAGGGATGTTGCGTGCGTGCTCTGTCGGTGGTCACCAATGTAGGTAAGCGGAGAAAAATGTTACCTCGGTGGGAATTGACCCTACGCCACTCGCATTCCGGGCAATCATCCAGACCACTAGACCACGAGGCGACTTATCTTTTCTTCGCTTACCGACGTGTTATTGTGCCGCCGCAAATGAAATTAGTGCAAGACCAGTTAATAAATAAAATAACACGTGTTATTTTTGTTTTATTGTTTGTAAAACAGTACACAAAAAAAACATTATAGCTTACTAATCACTAAGCAAACATACATTTCTTGCTAAAAAACAGTTCACAGAATAAAGTTAATGTCGCAAAATTAACACCCACAACCCACAAGAAAAATGCAGCTTGCAGATCAAACAAATTGAATGCTCTCCATAGTTTTTTTCTGTGATTAAGATTCATTAGTTCTTCTGTCGTAATGCTGTATTCCACATCTTGGTACCATTTTGAAGTTAACCCACTCTCTACTAACCTCAAAAGAATCACGTCAAAAATATTCAGTAAAGCTGAACCACGTGGTACTATGTATGATATGAAGTACGACGTAAAGCATTCATTTACAACATGAAGGAGTGGAGTACCATCAGGAGACAAGTACTGAGTTTTAATAATAGAATCCACATCACGTTTTCTTTCTAGCAGTGCCAAGTTGCGGTTATATGCAACAACTGACATAAAATTTGAAAGGTAGCGAATTCTTTTCTTTTTAAGGTTTGCCATTAGTTCTGAACCGTCGCTATCAAACTGATAAAAATTTGTTGCGATTGGAAGATTCGACTGATCTAACTCTTCTAGAGTGTCTATTTCTTGGTAAAATAGCGGATGTGTAAAAAAATTAAAAAAAGAAGCTTGCACTAGGGTTAAAATTATCACACTGAATGCCATACACCAAAACAAGAAAAAACCTTGTGCTAAGGTTGGTCTGATTTTAACTGGTATGCCACGAAATATTGCATACATCTCCCACCAAACTTGCAAATGTTTTCTGGTGGGTCCTATAAAGTACCACAAAACAATACAAATGCAGAATGTAGAGTACAGTGCTAGCCAGGTTCGGGTCGTAAAGCAATGAAAACTATTTAACCAGTTTGGTATCATTTTTGACTTGGGAACAACGGGGCACATTTTATCGGTATCGTAAGGTACAGTAAATTCTATTGCTGTGGTATCATAATCCATTATAAATCTACCGTTTGCACTAATTTGAGCTTCACCATTCGCAATTACACCTAAGCTTCCAGTAATCGTACCATTTGGTAAACCAAACCCGAAATTTTCTTCCCCAAAACCGCCGACTAAGTCAATACTAAAATTGACATATTCAGCTATAGTTTTTAGAATGAAACCATCTAAGCCGTGTACTGTAGGTTTAGTTCTGCCTAGATGAGCGTACGATGGGTCAAAATTAAGCAATTTCGGCATTTCAAGAATAGACGTAAAATTTCTAATAAACATCGACACCTTTAAAGGGTACTGATTGAAATTTCTCGCCCTTTTCGTCACATGAGTTTCTGTCAAACTGTGGATTCTTTTATCGTTTATTGGAAATAGCGAGTATGCATCATGTTTGCCATGATTACAGAAGCAAACATCCAAAACACCGAAATCTAGCCACAATCGCGAAAGAAGAGTTTTCCACTTTGGAGCAAATTTCACAAGAAAAAATTTGTACACATGTCGTGCCAAGGGTATAACTACCTTGGGATTGTAGTTTAGGAATTGGTGCAAAGTTTGGGCGTTCCAAGTTATTACTAAGTGTGTTCCAACAGAGCTAAAACTGCTCGGATCACTGGGTTCATCGTTTATAAATTTGAGTTCAATATGTAATTTTCGCATGCCACTTTTGTTAATATACTTAATAATGTTTTCCGCAAAATTCAAAATCTCTTGTTTGTATTTGTCGTCGTTTAGAATTATAATTCTAACTGATTCACTTTTGTAGGGTTCGTCTATTTTGTCTAAACAGTTTTCGAAATTTGCGGTTACTTGCAAAAATTGCAGAAAAAATAATTTACAAGCGCTTGGTAGTTTGTTGTGCATTTTGTTTACTAACAAACAACAACATGTGTATCAGTACGAGTGTTATTTCGCAGTACAATTTATAAATTCTCTCCATTTCTGCGTAAACAATAAGAAATGCCTTCTACAAATCATTATTTCACGTTATTCTCTATTCACTATAGCAGTAATTGACGTTCGTGCGTTGTTTCTTTAAGCTCGTTATAAGTGGAATTCGGTTTATTTAAATGATTTGACGTCAATTACGATGCATTTATACTAAATATTACGTTTTAATACAATGAATTAGTTTAAAAATACAATTTCCGAATGAAACCGACGAACATTGCTTGCAATGCTAAACTAAAAAACATGCTTTGTATGGTCCATTATTTTCACACGAGTTCAATTTTGTAAAATAACGGAGACATTAATTTTTAAAAATACTGCAGTTGTGTTATATAGAGAAATTTGTGAAGAAGTTATATTTAAAATTTTATAACAATAAATCTGTGAATAACTGAGATATTATATTCTGAAAATGTATTGAACACCCCATAACAGAAAACCGTAGGGACTGGGCGTAAAACTACGATATTGATCCTATGAAAAGCGCAATTATACAGGGTGATTTCGAAATATTTGCAATAAACCTTCATGCACCACTCTCGATGGGAAGCCACTGATCCACCCTTTAAAACAGTACGTTCAAAACGTTCGAATAAAATCGTTGTAAATAAAAATTAAAAATAAAACCGACTATTTGCTGGTTATTATCGTTCGTTCATTCATCTAATCGTTCAGTCGTTAAAGGTCATTGCTAAAGATCATTAGTTATAGAAAAAAATGGTGGTCCTGAGAAGATATTACAAACTGTGAAACACGAGTGCTGATGTCGGGCTCTTCTTCGAAGCGTTCCAAAATATGTTCTTCAGCTTGCAGTATTCTTTCGGTCCCATCACGGACACGACCGTGGGTTTGAGGTTTGAAGGTACTATGGTCTCAGAGATGTACCACTGATGCAAATGTTCAAGCACACGGAATCGTGCGATTTGGAAAGCGTTCGATCCACAATTCGCAGACCAACTTAGCGTTTCCATCAGCCACACCAGAAAGCATTACATTTCGACACGCTTTGAACGAGAAAAATTCACCGTTGTCAAAGGCGTTAACCGAAGACACGACGGCAACCAGCTCATGCATGGCTGGTTTTTTCACGTTGTTTATCAGTGTGCCACTTTTTTGGTTATTGATCCTAGACGTTCTATACCATTCATTGAATAGTAGTTATGGTAGGTCAAGAAACTATACCAGTGGCGTGTATAACAATTTATATTTAATTTCAAATAATTTTTTCTACATGTTGCTACCACTTAGGAACGTGAACTTTACAAAGTGCATTATCTTAATGTACCAGTCTCCTAGATTAAATTACTGGAAATTCAGCTCAAATTACCAAAACAGCTGATTGTATCTAAATGTTCTTGTACTTCCGATAAAATTTCGTCTCTTTCTCTGTCTTCATATCTGTCACCTTGACCGTGGCCTATCTATTCGTGTTATTAAAAAACATCCTGAAAGGCACTGAGTGTGAAACTTGTGCATCCCTGTTTCTTGTTCTTGTTTTTTGCTTTATCCTTATAGACAGCAATAGTACGTATATCATAACAATATATTAAACATATCAACTATATTAATAATGGGTAGCTGTTTAAATTGTAATGTCCCTACCGGGGTTTCTAAAGCAAGTGTTTCTTGCGATTGGTGTCAGGGGATACTTCATTTGTTATAAACGACATAAAAATGACTCGCCCCAAATCACGTCCTCTCAAACATTTTTTTTTTTGTGAAATTACGTGATGAACTTACCGCCCAAATTGCTGATATCAAACACAGCTCAGGTTACTATAAACCTGTCACTGAAAACAACTTGTCGTTTTACCGTCTAGGAAAATTTGACGCCTCTAAGAGTAATCGTCGTCATATCAAAATATTGCTCTCGTCTGTAGATAAGGTTCAATAGCCTTACGGAATGCTTATAAATTAAAAACGTCGCAATTTAGCAACATATCAGTATCGTACTCCAATGTAGTTGATGATCTATAAAAATGTCAAAGCTGAATTAAACAATCGCTTCAGTAATGATGAAACAAATTTACGCACTAAATATCAAAATGGGCTTCCTCGCATAATATCTACATCGTCTTTCAATTAAACAACAATGTTTCAAAATCATTTAACATCTATTATCAAAACGCTAGAGGACTAAGATCTAAAACTCTATGTTCTATACCAGCTGTTGTCAGTTATCTTATGACATCATAATTATGACAGAGTCTTGGTTGAATGATTCTCTTTCCACCCTCACATAGTGTAATTAATTAGATGTGACAGGAACTTATCATCTGTTCAGAAATTTGATAGGAGTGGTATCCTTTTTGGTCTTCGTAATCATATTAACTATGAACCTCTAGATAATACTTACATTTTAAAATTGATCCATTTGGTTGATTTGGTTGTTAGCAAATGTACATTGAACAACTTGTCACAGTTAGCAACAAGTTACGAAACCGATTTGCCCTCAAAAAGTAAGTTTGGCTGATGCCAAGTGTTTCGCAAAGAAACTGCGAAATGCTTGGGCCAGCAGAAGGAACTTGGAGAGTGGCAAATCGAGGACAGGGAGTGACAGTTAGAGTTAGAGACTGTGACAGTGCGGGTCCCTTCAAGACTGCCAACGACAACCGTAATGATTAAGTAAGTACCAACTCCATATACTTAGGGCCGGTTGCATAAACGCAAATCAAATTTAATCTCTGATTAAGAACAATTGTAACCATGATAATAACAATCGTTACTATCGAGTTAATCAGAGATTAAATTTGATTTGCGTTTATGCAACCGGCCCTTAGTTTTGTAGTTAGTAGGTAATAAATCATAGAATAAGGAGACAAATGTTTTTATAAAACACCCCTAATGGTCACAGGACGTGACATATATGGTGGAGGCGCCATGGTGAGATTTCGAAGGATAAATCACCATATTTATCTTAATTTAAATTAAACGATATTATTAATAGATTAGTTGTATAAGTAGAGTAATGAATTTTGCTGACGGGTGTGTTGGAGTTACTTTACAGCTATAAAGTAGGTAATGGTGTAATATGCTGAGTCGGAACTTGCAGCACAGTAGATAATCTAGGGCAAAGGCACATAAATGAAAAACAAAAACAAAAATTTTTTTTTTTGAATGTCGGGAACGAAACCATTGTTAAAGACACGTAGTCAAAGGCGTAAGGTAGAAGAATCGCAGTACCGGAATTTTGTTCCTAAGTGCCGAAGCACGGAAGCATTTGAGACAGTTGACGAAAACCCGGTGCAAGTAAATATAGTTAACCCAAAGCCTGTATCAGATTCAACATTACAAGAAATATCAGAAATTTTGGACACGAGGAAGCGAGCAGAAAAACCGAAAAAAGACGAGCAAACTACGAAGGAAGGAAGTGGTGCGGAGAGCAAAGAGGGCAAGGAAGAAAGGAGGGAAGATAGTGAAAAGGAGTTGGAGGAAAGTGGTGCAGAGAGCGAGGGGGACAAGGAAGAAAGTAGGGCGGAGAGTGAGGAGGACAGGGAAGAAAGCGACATAGAGACCGGAGAAGACAGGATGTCAAACGTAACTCTTCGAGAAGCTTTGGAAAAAGCTAAAATTCCAGCCTTACCAAAATTTTTAGCCCCGCCCCTCTTTAATCCAGCTACGTCAGATCCAAACAGCTTCATCGACACCTACGAGAGAGTAGCTTTAACTAACTCATGGGATGACGCGCTAAAAATTTCATATTTGCCAATTTTTTTGGAAAAAGCGGCATTGGCGTGGTTTCGCCAATACACAACAACGCAGTCTAATGCAGAGAAGACATGGAGAGCGCTCACCAACGATTTTTTGGCGGAATTCGGCAGTGGTGAGTCTAAAAGGGGAGTAAGGGCAAAATTCGAAAACAGGAAGCAGGGACTGAACGAGGACATCAAGTCCTATTTTTTCGAGCTTCTGGTGCTACAGCAGGAGTGGGATCCGAAAATGTCGGATGAGTCCTTCAGTTTGCATTTTGAAAATTAATTCAGATTAATCGTTAGTTACATAATAATATAGTAATAAGTTTTTGTTAACTTTTTAATTGGTGTAAATTAAAAATTAATATAATTTTAATTTTAGGATGTTAATAATATACTACATGGGAATCTTATACCTTGGACAAGCGGTAGAAATAAATACGGGCGTTTACTGGCGAAAACTGCCCGTATTTACGTACGAAGCCAGTATACCCTTGATATATACGACCAAGTGGGAGACGGGAGACAACGCAGGACACAGCAGTACTAGCTTGATGGATTGTGGTGAGAACGGCAAATCTTTAAATTGTCAGTTGGTCAAAGAAATAGAGAGGCTTTCAAATCTTTATGAGGGGGAACGGTCTATGTTGAGGCAACTAATAGAGGGAGAGATAGGAAGAGAGCAAGGTGTAAGAAGAAAAAGAGCTCTGGATTTCATTGCGAGTTCATTTGAGTGGTGCTGTGGTTTTGCAACACAGCATAAATTTAAAAAGCTGGCAGCAAATGAGCAGCAGTTGGCCGAACAGGTTAATCAGCTACAACTGGGGCTTACCGAATCTCTGAAAAGTATCGGTCAAGAATCGAAGGCATTTAGGAAATATCAAAACGACACAGCGAACACGTTCCGTCAGATCGAACGAAGGATGCATTTAGCAGAAAAGGTGGCATCAGATTTAATGGTGAAACTCGAAAATCAAGTGCGAGGGTAGGAGAGATTAGCTTTTGACAGCCATTTATAATAATTATTTGAATTTGAAAAAAATTATTAATACTATCAGGATCATGGAGCAGAACGAGGTGGCGACTGCGTGTAAACAGCATCTTATTCCGCAGATAATACTCCCACCATCGGTACTGAGAGCGGATCTAATCGTGTTACAGGACAATATCGCTAATCACCGGCAGGAACTGGCCATTTCTGTTGGGGATGCGGAAGTCTTGTACACATTGCCAATTTGTGACTGTGTGTTGACTGAAAAGACGATAACAGTTCACATCCGCATACCTGTAAGAACTAAAGGATTTTCATGGTCTTTATTTGAATTAATTGCGGTCCCTTTCAAGTGGCACAATCAAACATGCAAAACTCAGCACGAGAGTGTGTACGTTGCCGTGTCAAAAGGAGTGAGCAGACAGGTGAGGGCGATATCCGGAGTCAGTCTTCACCACTGCAAACCTTTCGAAAACAAATTGTGTTTTTTGCCTCGATTTTCGGCAGATTCATTACATGGTCCAACATGTGTCAATAAGCTGGTTGCAGGAGGATCATCATTAGAGCTAAGCAGGCACTGCCCAATGACGTGCTACGATTCCACTGCAATGACCATAACCGAAGTTGAGGAAGAGACATATGTAATCACCCACGCGAGAAATGAATCCTGCATCAAGTGCAATAACCAACTAAGGTCGATTGTGAAACAAGAGGATGCAGAACCAGGTGCTAAGAAAATCGTACTACCCTGCCACTGCCAACTCATGCTGCATGATGAAGTAATCATTGGCAGAAGATTTCCATGCAAAGAAGATGAGAAGGAAATAACCATAACGCATATTTTACCGGCACCGTGGTCGACAGTAGGGGCCATGGTAATTAACGATTTTGAAAAAACAGTGCCGCTACACTTTGACTCCCTGAAATCTTGTCTCAACGAGAACTGGACACTGACAATACCACACGTAAATTTAACCTCACCGATCGAGAAATTGGCGGATGTATACAGAAGGATAAAAGTGCATCAGGAGGATCACGACTGGACGAATACCTACACAGTACATGGGGATTCCATGATGCTTATCTGGAACCTCATACTGTCGGTAGGGTTGGGATACGTCCTATTTAGAAGAAACCCAATAGGAATGGTATACGCTGCTGCTCCAGGAGCGAATGCGTGGGGCGAGAAGGACCATTTGGATCATCAAGCAGTTCTGACGCTCATGTGTATTGCCATACTTGTATTCATAGGATACATAGGGTTTAAAATGTGTAAATTTTTGTTTAGCCGCAAGCGAGGGACTGGAAGAAATAGGGACAACCCTAGAAAATTTGAGAGTGGAAATGAAACCAGTGTACCCTTGCAGACAAGAGGACGACAAGTGAGTTTGTCAGAGGGGCGTCTAGAGTTGGGAGAAGAGGCGTTCCTAGCTTTGGCACGAGGCCAAAGTACGAGTATAAAAATCCAGCCAATCCGATCGTCAGAAGAAGAAAGGGAATCTAATTAAAAAAATTTATAAGGTAAGGGGGATAACCAAATTTTGTCAAGGGGGGAGTATCTATTGTCTGTTACTGACAGCGCACTGCCTTTTGAACGTTTGGAAATATTACTTATCAATAAGCTTGTTCTAATAATTTGTGACCTTAATATCCCTGAATTTTCTGAAAAAAAACATCTCCTACAGCTATATTTCTTAGTCATTTCTGTAATACGCTAGAATTATCTAATTTACTGATGCCAAACATTTCTCTACAGATTGAAGTAAACAAAGATTTCTTTATTTTTTCCGGAATTTATTACCTTTTCTGTATTTCATCAGCGTGATTTAATAATACATGCAAATTGGAGTGTTTTTGAAAAATTCTCTGACGTAAATCTTGCCACTGAAGAATTTTACAAAATCCTGAACTCTGTACTTGGGCATACGATTCCAAATGATTATATGCCCCATGATTTACAAATGAAATCAAACATTATCTTAAACTTAAACTATATTAAAGATGAAAGTGGAAAAATACAAAAGATACTTATTTTCTTAATGAATTTAAGAGACTTCGCTTGCTAACTAAAACGATGATTTCGTCAGCCTATAAGTCTTACATGCAAGAAACTGAAGAATCGATTAAGAAAAATCCAAAGAAAATTGTTGATTTCATCCGCCGCATCAAACAGAATTCCTGGACGTATGTTTAAAAATGACGTTTGCTGTGATATTCCCTTAGAAACAGTTAATGCGTTTGCTGATCATTTCTCTAGCATTTATTTTCAGAATACTAGTGTGTCTGAAGACCTCGCTTCTTAATCTCGGAGGCTTCCATGGTCGGAGTCAATACATGATCGTTTTTCGGATTGGGAAACTCTTCGCCTCTGGTACGGTTGACATACTGAGTTACCGTGTTCTTTTGTCTTATTCCTAATTTCTGAACCCTGCTCCTGAAGTGTGCTAAACGTTGAGCCGAAAAACTCAATTAACTCGGTCATAACCCAGAAAACGATCATGATTGTTATTGCCCACCTTTTAATTTACAAATGGTTACTGAACAGCATATTGTGGTCATAGGAATTAAACATTTAAAGTGGAAATGAGGAAAATAACACAGAAATACGTGGCAGAAGCGGAGGGCGCGGTTCCTGGTTGAGCTGACGGGATTTATCGCGCCATCTACACAAAAGACGCAGACCTAGAATAGAAGTCAGAGGAGTGGTCGGGATGACGTGATGCTCGCAGCAATGGTTAGAACATCTCGACAGGCTAATGGACTGTATAGTGATATTTTTACCTAGGTTACTAAAATGTGTATCGATACTTAAGTTTATCTTTATGTTCATTTATTATTCTTTTTTTAAATTGTTTCTTGGAACAATTACAAGACTTTTATTGTATTATACTTGCCCTCTAATTGGATTACTGCTAGGCAATTAAATTATTATTATTATTATTATTAATATTATTAATAGAGAAAAGTAAAACCAACCGAGAAATGTTGTTAAATTTAATAACACATTTTTTCTTGTGTGATGAATACAACTTAAAAACAAACTGCTAAGCAAAAATCATTTTAACAAATGTAACTATTTACAGTATAAATCATATATACATACATAAACAACTTTCTAATTACAGATTTTTTCTTTTTAACTCTACAGTATAGAATGCATTGTAAATTTCTGCTAAGTTTATGTCCTAATGGCACTTCAAACACAACTTTAAAGCAATTATCCCAGAGAAATTCCAGCACAGAACTACTGACGACCCTTTCCAAATATGTTCCATTCTATTCTGTGTTTGTGATAAATTCTCAATTCTCATGCTTGTTCTACCATTGTTACTTTTCTTTTAATTCTTCTACATGTCACTCGTACGCACATAGTTCCTAATAATACTTCCACGATTGTATTAATTTTTTTATTTCTCGTGATACATTTTCCAATCACCTTTCCTTGTAAACTATTATCTGTGTTATTATTTCGACTAGTATTCTAAACATTTTGTTATTCATTTTGTCCAAAAAATTATGCGCCACTGTTACCCACTGTTTATGTCCAATTTTGTAGGCATCTTCAAGAAAAATTTATAACTTTAGATTCTCTTTTAAGTTGTTAAATATAGCTTCCATGAGTGTCTTCTTTTCGAGCTAATCAGCTTTGATACATATATAAATTTTCCATTTTTCATTTCTGTCGCATTATTTGTTTCTTCATTTTTCCTTGTCTTAGCATGCTCTATGGACCTTGTTACAACTTCATATTCAGCTTAAACTAATTTCCTTATGTTCTTAATTTCTGTCCAACAGAACATTGTGATTTCCATTCATAAGTTCTTCTTCTATTGTTACATTTTTTTATGTTCTTCGTCTAACACAAGATGTTATTCACTTTATGACGCTCATTGACGATCTTTTCTAATAGCATCTACATCGTTTGTCGTCATAATTGAGAAAAACTTTACATTGATAAAAATTCTAGGCCAAATTAATTCTTCTGGTACTTCTCTCATACGACCACATTAAACTTCCATATTCATTTTACTTCAGTCAGATACACTACCATAACACGATCTTCTCAAAAATACTAACATCCGAAAACACCTTTTTGTAAACAGAATCTCACAAAGAAAGGCAACCACTGCAAGTACCAAACCGAACGCCCACAAGAAAAATACTGATTGTAAATCGTGTGTGTTAAACGGGTTCCACAAGCTTCTATTTCGGCTAAGATTTATAAGTATTTCCAATTCAGTACTATATTCAACATCGCGATACCATTTTGAAGTCAAACCAGCTTCAACCAATTT